GCTTATGACCAACAGTGAGTTGGAGGAGTTTCAGTCCAGCTTCTCTTAAACTCTTTTTTAAAACCTATTTTCATCCACAACGCTGGCGAAACAAACTACTGAGTCTGCAAATTATTTTGCAATGTTCAGAGGCCAATGAACACACGCTGGCAGGCCCGCTCCGTGTAAATAAGCAGTTTTTCCACATTTAAATGGGACATTTAATGTCAATATTTATAGTGAAGTCCAGACACAAAGGATCTGAATCTACGTCTTTGCTGGACTCACTCTCTTAAATGGAAAAAAAAAAAAAAAAAAAGTCTTGATTTAGCTGATATTTTAGTCAAATTATCTCATCCCTCGCAAAGTTCACAAGCTCAAAAATGTCTCACTTGTTAGGGAGGTTCACTTATGAAATCATGTCAATTAAAAGGCTCTTACAAAGCTTAAGTAAACTACTGAATATCATATAATGCTTCGACTTACAAACATTAAGGAAAATGAGCATAAAGCAGGGACACATTTTAAGATCACCTTTTAGGTGTAAAAAAAAAAAAAGGGAAACAAAAAGAATCTTAGGCCAAATACTTTAGGGGACAACAATATCTAGGTCTAAGTCATATGATGTGCAAACTTAATTGTGCATAGAGATCAAATTGTAATAAATATTAATGTGATAATTAACATTATCACGAGTCTGACTTTGTCAAAACTTGTAGGGGTGATTGTACATTTTCATGATTAATTTAGTTTTACTAAAACGTTAAAAAGTTTTTTTTTTATAGTGCTGCGAGAAAAGCTTTTAAAGTTGTTTTTTTTTAAGCAACAAACACTTCCCATTTATTATTAACCAGAGCCCCAAAAGACAAACACAACCAAACACTCAATAAAAATCCTGATAAAAATCATTGATTTGTCATAGTTATTATTCAACGTTTAACTTCCTCTGAATGGCTCTTTCACTTTAAAAGTTTTTTGTTTGTTTTTTTGTTTTTTTTTTTTGCTTTTTTTAAATGTTCTGCCTTATTTCTGCATCAAAGAATCACATGAGCAACAAATAACAAACTGAGCGTCATAGCGATGTACAGGAATTTTACATTGAAGTACTTTCGTAAGTTTCCAAAACGTAAACGGATCTATGGTAGCTTTAGTTTTCACTGTTTCTTCGTCTGATGTAGCTTAATAGATGTGAAGCATAATGCCTGTCTTTGGACCACCGAGGTAATTGTAGGTGTGTGTGTGTGTGTGAGTGTAAAACATGCTGAAATGTTTCCCAAACATTTCAAATGAGAAAATAGTGTCCCTCCGAGCCGCCGGGGGCTCATCCTGGTTCGAGGTATATGATCCTGGGGCCGACCAGTGGCGCCTGTGGAAAATGTTACAAAGCTGTCTGATGGATGATGGTGAATTTCATTCACACTGCTGTGCATCACGCCTCCTCCTCCTCCTCCTCCTCCTCCTCCCTCCCACCTTCCCTCCCCTCCCTGCTGCAGTCTCACTCTGCTCGGACTACTTTCCTTCTTTATCGAATCATTCATCAACAACCCTCTTTGTCACCCTGGTTTGCTCGTGAATAGCGCCGGGCTCCATTCAACTTCAATTCAGTTAATTCAGGAAGTGCTTTTTTCTTTGATATTAAAAAAATGGGAAAACTTAGAAAACAACAAGGCTTAGGAGCTTTTAAACTGAAGGGCAAATTTTCCTTGTTTACTTTAAAGGGGACATATTATGCTCATTCTCAGGTTCGTATTTGTATTTTGGGTTTCTACTAGAAAACGTTTACTCGCTTCAATGTTTAAGATATACTATGCAGGATTTTCCCAAAAACAGTGCATAGACTCACACAATAATCACACAGAAATCCCGCTCAATCATCACTTCTGGCTCAGTCAGTACATTAGCATGCACAGTTACAGCTCCACATTTAATTGCACTACTGTCCTTGTCCCAGTATACAAGCACAGGAGGGGATGACTCTGCTATGATAGGCAGCGATATGCCCCCTTTCAGCTTGTTAATACTGGTCCTTTTTCCAGTTGATCTATTACGTCACAGACCAAACAATCTCCCCTCTTCCTCCCATCCATGTATTTTCAAATATTTAACTCTTTCAGCTGACACAGCATGAACTGTGTCTTCTCATCCATCCAAAATATCACAGCTCTGGATGTAGATTTTGCCATGTTGTTACCGTCTTCTTCTTCTGTTATGCATTTAACGCTATTTGACTTCCAGGTCAAAGCCTGGGGCGGACACTGTGGAGCACGAGCGAAACGCCTCGGCCAGTTTGGGTCTGATTGACTGTATACATGCAGTTATTCAACTCCCAACTGCATTATCTGGGTGTGTTTGTGTGACTTTGAGAAATTCGTTTTAGTACGATTTCAGTCAGACTAACATGTTTACATGTATATTAAAAGTCCGGTTTTAGTCGGACTAACACAATAAATTGATTTTCTCTACTGTCATGTAAACACACTGAGTGAGTGGCGGTGTATTTGTCTGCACAGAATCTGCTTCTGCCTGGATTTTCCTATTCGCTTCTCATTGTCTGTGTCTGGGACATTTATGTGTGTACCCCACAGTACCTTAGGTGAGACAGGCTTTATAAAAACGCAGTGATCAGGTGCCAGACCATAAGCAGCAGGCATCCAAGAGATACAGCGCCAAAAAAAACATGAATATAGCGAGGCTTAATGCCAAACAGAGTTAGTCTGGGTTTGGCTTTTATTGTCATTTTCGCTGGCAAGTGTGTGGAAAAAATCTAACCAACAATCCTGCATAGTTTACCTTTAAAAAACCTGTCATACTGTCTGTGTGAGAACACCTGTATTCATCCTTTGCCTCCGTTTTAGCACCTGTCTCTTTAAGTCCACCTGGGAAAAAAGCCCAGTCTGCTCTGCTTTGTCAATGTTTCCAAGTCTTCCAAATCTTCCAAATCTCTGCGTCTCTGCACCATCATTGTTAACAGAGTATAGCGAGACCTTCTACCATAAAAATTCACCAACAGCAGCTTCTGAGCACAACCAGTCATGTTCCAACGGCGATTTGATCTGAAATCGACGTCAGAAACCAAGATGACATGTTTGCCTGATGTTAGCTTGTACCTACATGTAGCAGAGTATGTACTGTAAATACCTGCAGTAGCGTGAATGGAGTAGATGACCATATAAAGAAATCTGTCACAAGCTGATGTCAGCTTGTCCCAAAAGTTGGAAAAAATGTTGATAGCATTCAGAACGGTTTGAGGTCTGAGGTTTTTACTCACAGGGATTACTTCTTCAAACATTTACCTCATTATTTGGAACTTTTGGCCACGTTTAACATGAACATCCCCTTTTACACTGCCTCGTCGAGGTGGGAATTTCACGTCATAATGCTGCCTCACTGTTCTCTATAAAAGGTACAATCGCAGATTGGAGGGACAGAGTTGTCTCGCCTTAAGGCAGCATCAGAGGTAGTAACAGCACCAAAATGAGGTATGTATAAAAGGGACAGCCAACAGGACAGGATGATGGGTGGCACTGGTGTGACGTTTTGCGACGTGATTGTTATTGCCATGTTAATACCAGTATTATTGTTTATAAAACACTTCTGATGCGTATGTTATATGTCACACTAGAGGCTGACGCCGTTGTGTTAAATGTCAGACCTGTCTCGCCTCTTTTGCTTCTGCAATGCCAGCATGCTGTCTAAAATCACACACTCTGGAACAGCATGATGCTGCCGCTGTTTATTTTTGTGTAAAAATGCAAAGAAGGCATAAAGAAGGGACTTTGTAGCAGCCCTATAGTACGATCTCTGCACATATTGTAAGATTACATATATGACAGAAAGTAAGGACAAGCATAATAGGTCCCCTTTCACAGAATTTGAAAGTCTGTGTTTTCAGCAACAGATGACAAATGTGACAGGGAACACACGTGACTACAGGTGTGTCTTATGCCTAATATTCCACCAGCTACATGGGTGTAAGTGTGGGGCAAGAAAGAACCAATGAAATTTTGGGGTGGATCTGAATCATGGGGCGGATACACACATTTTTTTTTTCACTTTCATTTAGGGCTATCCTGAATACCATTTTTTAACATTCGGACCTTTGGCAGAATTTATAACGAATATTCGAATGGGGTTTTTTCGGACCTAACTGTATTGGTGAGTTTGCACAGCGGCGACCGGATCTTTGCTCTCACACCACAAAAAAATGTGATGGCACAACAGTCTCCTTCAGTACATTATTCTATGCTTTCTTTTGATTTTCACATTGGCTAGTCATCCTGTTTAATTTGTCTTCTGATTAAATTGGAACTGTTGAAACAAGTTGTAGGAAGCCTCTGCAAGTAATTGGTTGCTGGCAGACACTCTGTGCTGCAATAAAACGGTTAATCAGCAGTGCCGTGCACTGTAGAGTCGATGCGCTGCTGGTTCTGCCAGCCTGAATAGAATATAATGTCTATAGCCTTACTGTTGTGTGTACAGCCTTTATAGACTGAGCTGAGTAGTGATGCGCGGGTCGACCCGTAACTGACGGGACCCACAAATGGACCTGCGGGTCAGGCAGCAGTGATCGTCTGTTAAATCGGTCTGTAAATGATATTTTGACATTATTGGCTATTACTGTCATGGCATCCGAAGGTACTGATGCGTTGAGCAGGTGACAGTCCGCGGTCGTTTTCAAAACACACTTGTGACACGCGCTCCAAAAGAAACTTATTGAAACTTTAAACAATAATTTAGTGTACAAAACGGGGGAAACAAATGTTGACAAAAACGGTTCCATAATTCATATTAAATTCAAAAGATAACGAAAAAAACAGCTACAAGTTAGAGGGAATAGTGATAAAGTGGTAAAACTTGGCATTGATCCACAGCCTCAGACGGATGTGCTCAAGCGTGCCGTGCACACAAGCTCAGTTGGCATACTATATTTTCACATTTTTAACAACGCAATTTAAAAGTTTTGATTTTTATTGATAACCTACATTTACCAACAACAAAAAGACTACATTTAGCACCAAAAAAATATGTAAAAATATGTGGGGGGAAAAAAAAAATCGAATACCAAAATTTCATAACGAATACCTACCCACAAAAACGAATATTCAAATATCCTAATATCTGGGTACAGCCCTACTTTCATTTACATTGCCAGGCAGGTTGGAGGTAAGCGCTCTTAGAGTGCCCTTCTAGTATTGACCTTGTATATATTCGCCTCAAGTCTAATTTTCAATTCAACAAAACACACCATAATATAAAAACTACTCAAAACAAAGACCCAAAACGAAAATTTGAGGGTCTATATTTAAGTGCTCTATAGCGCTACTGAAATGACTCATTTAAAGTTGAACACACTGACCATGTTAACTAAATTTATCACCTTCCAAAGGTGTTTGTAAAATTTTATTCTTTAATATTTGGAAGGCTTCACTTGTTACATAATGAGGCCATAATGTTTAAATCCAGAAATCAGCCAATACACTTACAAAGCACCAGAAGGAAGATAATAAAAGATGGCCCACGTAACAAGCTGCCATCATTTAAGCTCTCACTTACAGATACATTAAATATCTCTTCACTTTTAAAGGAAATCCAGTTCTTCATTACAGACTGGCTCTTGTTTGTCATAGTTTTGGAAATCAATCGGTTATTTTACACAGCCACTTTGCTGAGATCTCAGAATAAACAGCGCTTCAATAAGCAGACTGGGTTGTAAACAAACTGAATTATGTTCACGTTTTATTTTATGCACTTAAAGATGTGAAACTGAACCGAATGAGCTCCTATTTTCAACCTGAATTAACCGAATTGAGGGTGAATAAAATCCTGCAACCCTCCCTTCCCACCAACCCTGCCTTCCCCTTATTTCCCCTAACTTGCATCTCCTTATAACCCCAATCCCCACCCCACCCTCACCTCCACCTATAAACCCCACGACTCCCCACGCCCTCACCCACTCCCAAACCCGCTCTGTATTCCTAACCTCTTTGGTGACTCTCTGGTGTCTTTGAAACAGGGTTCCTACACATCCTCTATTTCAAAAGTCAAAACTTGTTTCCACCGAAAAAATACATTTTTGGCTGGAGTTTGGATGGCTGTTCAACAAGGCGTGTGATTGTTAGCGATGTCGCTCTATAGCTCATGATTAGTCATCACAGCAACAAGTATCACAACACAGGAAATGACAGTAAGACTACAACTATTCAAGACGGGCTTCTGGGGAGGGAACAACAATTTTTACAAACTTTTCCAGGATTTTTGTGCAATTCCAAAACCACTTTTTAAATTTACATATCTCTCAAACTTCAAAGAGCCTTTCCAGCCGTGTGTAGGAACCCTGATTGAAGGTGTCGCTAAGCTAAAACAATGGGAACCTGCAAAGCGCTGTCCCCACCAGAACAAAAGATCAACAAGGCTGTTAGGACCAAATAAGTTTCGTTTTAAGGAATGGGTTCACTGACCTTCCCCTCTTCCCCGTATCTCCCCCTCACTCTCTCTAGGTGGAGGAAGCTCCGTGGCTGGGCATGTTGGCCATGCTGCCAACCATGCCAGCCGCGCCAGCCATACCTGAGGGCCCTCCCAGAGCCGGAGGACTGTGCTTGGTAGGTGAGGTCATGTCGGCTCCACGCCCTTGGCCTTGGCCCTGGGGGGCGTGGTGGGCGTGCTGCAGGGCGTGGCGCTCCAGCAAGGTGCGGTGGGTGAAGGCCCGGTGGCACACGTTGCACTGGAAAGTGCGCTCGGCACGGTGGGTGCGCATGTGCACATTGAGGGAGCTTTTCTGGGTGAAGCGCTTGCCGCACATGGAGCACTGGAAGGCCCTGACGCCAGTGTGCACCACCATGTGTTTGAGGAGGTAGTCGCGCAGGGAGAAGGAGCGCCAGCAGATGGAGCACTGATGAGGTTTCTGACCTGGAGAGACAGGTATGCACACACAGACATGCAGTATACACAAAGACACACACAAGCAGCTGTGTCAGTACATCTGAGTCATTTTCTGTTACTCTTTTGTTAATATACAGTGTAAATTACTTAAATTAGATCAATTATTATTCATGCTTCCAACAAACCTGTACCTGAAAACTGACTTAATCTGTTTTTGAGGTTCTTGTTTTATACGTGTGACAAGTTTTGTCTTATGTAATGTTTATCAATGGAACACACTTCTTCACATTTATTAACAATTTGACTATTCTATATCTGATTATGTCCACATTTGTCATAAATTACAGCCATTGCCAAAGAGCAGAGTAGAACGCAATTGATATATGTGCTTTTGAAATCCAAAACTTTTGACTGATGCTGGCAATAATTACACAATTTTATTTTTATCTAAAATATAAACAAGTTGTCAGGAGTTTCCCCCCACTTTTTTAACAGTATAAAAGACCTACTCTAATAGAGCATTTTGATCATCACAGGACACTGAAAGTCTTCAGATACATTTGGTCAAAGGGTTAGCAGTTTTGTAAAACAGAGGAGGCACTCCTCAAAATAAAAAGTCAAATCAGAAAGTAAAAACAGATAAAATGTTTCCTTATACGTTTTCCTGATTGTTTAGGAATATGTCCTCAGAGAGGATCCTCCATATTATCAATTATGACTGACACAACAAGCTAAACAGCATCCTGAGATGTGTGTGTCCACCTGTTCAGAAGCTACGGTTCAAAGTAGCTGACACATGATGTGAGAATCAAAGCTGAATTAAGAGGTTTTTTTTTGGCCACTTGGGGGCGGAAAAATGTTGTTGTGGCTAACATGGTACCAGCTAACAGTTGCCTATGTATTTCTGTATCCAGCAGACATGAGCAATGAGACATGAGAGCAGTGAATTACTCATGTGGAGTCCACCTTAATGTTAGTCTCATATTCACTCTTCTTTTAGCTCTGTTTTTGGTCTCCACCGACTCCTGAGAAAAATATCTGGCTTCAACCCGTGACAGCAATCAGCCGTCACCGTGTCCTTGTGTATCAGTCTGTGTCCCCTCTCTAAATTCGGAGGTTTTGAGTGCAGCAAAGGTAGAACTCTTTTCACCTCAGCAGCAGTTTATGGAGTTATGAGTTGTGGGGAGGATAACTGATCAGTCGATGTAATCAGAGCTGATCAGATCAGGCTGATGGATGAGAGCAGCAGCTGCGCAATCAACTTTTAAGTTTCACTTTCACTGCACCTGACGTTCTGCTGATGGTGCGAAGCAATGATTAACCGAATGGTATACAGTATATATTCCAACACACTCCTGATGAACGGTCCAGCTTCAAAAATAGAAAATGGAAATCTGGCTGCAGTTTTAATGGTGGCACAAATAAATTAATGTATGGGTAATGGGAAAACCAGAAAATAAGAAATAACAAGGTTGAGGAGAAGGAGGCGTGTCTTACCGGAGTGGATGAACATGTGCTTGCTGTAGTTCTTCCTGGAACGTAAAGATTTGCCACAGTGCGTGCAGTCGAACGAGGTCTCAGATCCCTGGGAGGAAGGGGAGGGGCCTGCAGAGCAGGAGGAGGCAGAGGGAGGTGGAGCTGGGGTCATCGGTGCAGGAGGCGGGGCCTGCTGACTGGGCTCCGTCCCCGCCATGCTGTCGATTCCACCCATGGGCCCGCCCACATAGAACGGAGCCGGCTGCGACTGGCTCACTGGGTACTGGAAGAGAAGCTGAGGACAAAAATAACGATCACTGTTAGCGCCAGGTGAAATCTGAACTGCATACATGTTCTTTTAATTCCTGTTTTAATTTTTTCTTTATGATTTGCATGTTCTTCTTTGTGCTGTTCTGTTTTTTTCATTGTTTTGTTTATTGTTACTTTTAAAATTAACATTCAGTATTCAAAACATTAAATAAAAAATTCTAATCTCTCATGCATTATGTTTTAATTCCATATCCACACTAATTTTAGGGATAGACTGATATGGATTTTTTAGGGCCGATGCCGATACCGATTTTTTCCCATCACCCTTAGCCGATGACGGATTATGGACTGCCAATTTTCTTGAGCCGATATTTGGGGCCGATACTGCTTTTGCTCCCTCAATTTACATAAAAAAATGACACAATGATAACAAATATTACAGGTCTCAAGTTTAAAATAAGAAACATTTATTGAACAGTAAAAAATACTAAAACAAGATGGAAAGTTGAGGTAGAACAGGTAGAATATTATTATTATTATTATAAATTCAAATAAAAAAAAGAGTTCAGTGCTCTTAAATCTTCCAGTAATGTCTTTATAAAATAAACAAATATTTAAGCTGAAGCATAAATAAAACAACAACTACTATACACAGTAGGATTCGCTGCATGTGCGCTGCAGGGTCTTCCGGCAACACAGAGCTGCCCGTGGATGCCTGTCTGTAAATCATGCCACAGAAAAATATATCCGCGAACCCATGCGCGTATCGGCCGATGCCGATACAAGTAAAAAACTCAAATATCGGCCTGATATATCCGCCGGCCGATGTATCGGTCTATCCTTAACTAATTTAGCCATAATTTTAATTCTGATTTAAAGACCAGTTTACATTTTTAAATATAGGTATGCACGCTGTCTGAGGATATAATCTGCAATAGGGTTGCAATGATTATTCGACTTATTGATGACTAATCGACTATTAAAATAATCGGTGACTATTTTAGTAGTCGACTAGACGGTTTGAGTCATAGTTTTTAATAGAAAACGACTATAAAAGTACCCCAAAATACTGAAATCAAATAAACACAAGTTCAAATTATTGCAGCTTCTTATGTTCAGATATTGACAGCTTTACACACTCTCCCATGACGGTGAACTAAAACCCTTTGGTGTGAGTATGAAACAAGACATTAGATGACATAATTTTGGGGTTTAGGAGTGACAGACCGACATTTTTCAAAATTTTAACACATTTTTCGATAAAATGATTAGTCAACTAATCGAAGAAATAATCGACAGATTAGTCGACAATGAAAATAATTGTTAGTTGCAACCCTAATCTGCAAATAATAATAATAATAGCTAGCGCCGTTGTGTTTGATAACATTGCTGAACCGATATTACAACCTTGAGTTTTGGCTGATACCGATACCGATCTGATCCAAGCACGTATTATACATATTCACTTATTTTGTTGTCAGTCATGTTAGAAAAGGTTTGATCAAGCAAAGAACAACTACTTAATCAGGTTAGTTGGAATGATCCACAACAGTTGGTATGCAAAACTGACGTGTTTATTGTTAACAGGGTTAAATAAACAAACTTTAAACTTGAACATTAACATTTATTAGAAAATATAGCTGGTTTGCTTTGGCTGCTTTGGCCCCTTAATAAATAGAAAATAAATCAACACAAGAAATCTTTAAAATGTCTAACAATGAAATTAAAATAGCAGCAAGACTCCACACACTTGTGCTTTGGCCCCCTAATAAATAAAAAAAAGATTAACACCACAAGACATTGTTGACATTTAACAAACAATGCAGCCTTTCCTTTTCAGTTATTTTAGTAGTGTTTTTGTAGTCCATCCATGGCTCCAATTTCACTAATTGTGCCCAAAACAATGCCATCAATGCTCTTTACTTAAATAGTAAGAGTGTAAACCAAATAAAAATATCACTCAAAAAACCAGAGCAGAAAACAAATAGTCAGTTAACTAAATTGACCGCTACTCTTCCTACCCTCTGTGTATCTGCTGTATGCATGCTGGCCTGGTGGATTGATAGTAAGAGCTGGAGCGGATCACTGGAATGGACTGCTTGAATCGCGGAGCGCTGGGCTGGCACGGACTTTTTTCCGTGAAAAATTGGATCGGAGTTCATGGATCGGCATTTTTCCATGCAGTCCGATCCGATGCCAATGCCCGTTTTTTGCTAATATCGGCGGCCGATACCGATCTGAATATCGGATCGGGACATCCCTACCCAACGGTGCTTAGCGTGCCTTCAGATAATAATATACACTCAACAAATGAACAAATGAATGAATGAATGAATGAATGAATGATTCTGTTACATGTAACGTCCAATAGAGGGAGACATAACATTTAAAAAAAGCACTGAAAAGAGGCACCGTAATGTGCGTTTTGTTTCGGTCCAGTAGGTATCCGTTGTATAGCTACCGGTTCCATATAAGCACCGACTTTCGGTACCCAACCCTAAATATATATATAAAGAAATTATGTATGTACATATACACACACACATATATATATACAGTACAGGCCAAAAGTTTGGACACACCTTCTCATTCAATGCGTTTTCTTTATTTTCATGACTATTTACATTGTAGATTCTCACTGAAGGCATCAAAACTATGAATGAACACATGTGGAGTTATGTACTTAACAAAAAAAGGTGAAATAACTGAAAACATGTTTTATATTCTAGTTTCTTCAAAATAGCCACCCTTTGCTCTGATTACTGCTTTGCACACTCTTGGCATTCTCTCCATGAGCTTCAAGAGGTAGTCACCTGAAATGGTTT